ACCACGTGGATTTCACAAGAGATGCATCCCAGACTCCAGAAACATGATTATTCCCCGTGGAAAATTATANGGGGGGGGGGGGATCCGGAACATCCTCGAAGATGCCCAATTGTCATTAAAAGGGTTTTAAATCATGAATTGCACCCGAAAATGATTTTTTCATATTTATTTACTCATTTTTGACTTTAAAACCCTTTTTTACCATCCTACAACCTTTCAGTGCATCGCCGCCAGATGGCGGCACCTTCGCATTCTCACTCGACAATTTGTGCGTTCGACATTTTTTCCTAACGTCTTTGATAGTCCACAGATGGCGCTTCAAAACGCCGTTTTTTTGCGGGAAAACTTTTCAATTCAAATAGGTGTTCTAATCAATTTAATCTACGGGCCAATAATTAAGTCATATACCATTAGGTGGACTCAATAACTAGAGAAAATCGCAGAACCGGTCGATTTTGCTTCGTCTAACCACGAAAAATTTCATTTTCACATGGATACGTCTATGGTTTCGTTGAGGGGGATCATTCATTGATCTTTATACTAACTGGATAGACTATCCTGTAAGAAACTGGTGGCCCAAGTTGGACGTTCACCCAGCGCCTCCATTGTATGGCCTAGGAACTAAGCGCGCCGCTAGCGCGATTTCGCGACCGTAGTCGCATAGTGGGGGGTGGGTAATGTGACCTGGTAAAATTGGAAAATTGAGTGGTCATTTTTCTGATGTTGTATTATACAAAATCAAGATTTGAAGGGAGGATTTTCATTGTCGTCAATTGAAATGATAACTGGGATGATTGCCGGGGGGAATAAACACAGAAAGTGGAGAAACCATTCGTCTTCCGACAAATTCTTACATGAATATGCATCCTCTTTAAAATAGTTATTGTGTGGTGCAATGAGGTGACATTATCGTTACAGGAAAGGATGAAACAAAAAAATAATAGAAGCTCGATTTTGATCAGGTTCAAGTGAAATAGCATGGACGGAATGATAAGACCAATTCGATGCAGATCTAATTGAAATATAATAAAATAAAATAAAAAAATCTAATTGAAATAATTCTATCTTTTTCTGCAATAGAAAATCACATGTGGTATTTATTAAAATTATTTTTCGCAATTTCGAGCACTAATACAATACAACAAAGACATTATTCAGCAGACTGTGCGAGCTAGATCACTGCCAGTTTTATTATTTTATCACCATTAGTGAACTTCTCATATCTCCAAATTATTGCCTTGCATTGTCGAATGCAATTCATATTTACTCTTTCTTTTTATTATAATTGGAGCCTATGTTTCATATACATTACCTCCTGCAATATCTACTTATAGTTGCATTACACATTTCACTGATACAAAATCAGAAACTTATGGAAAGACAATTCTTTCGATTTGGTGGATCTTTTTTTGCAGTATTCACACCGAACCATTTTTGTAAAAGTTTACAGAATGGAAGGAATGAATTATTTCGTAACCTCACTGACCATTGAACTCTTCCTAAAGACATTCGTCGACAGGTAATGCCCAGGTATTCGCTGTTGATTGACAGTCACCGAAATGACACCTATTTGGGGGTTATGGGACCGAAAAAATGACACAGTCAGATAACCATCCCCACTATCTAGCATTCTAGTCGCGCAAGCACATTGAGGCATCCTATAGTTCTGAGGCCATACGAGGGAGGCGCTGGCGAACTATTCAAAGCCCTCAGTTTCCAGCGTACTCGGCCCGTGAGGATAGTCTATCCAGTTAGTATAGAGAGCAGTGGGGTCATCTTGTGAAACAGTCCTTATGCCGCAGCGCCATCTATCGGCGATGCTGACTGTCGATACATTATCAACCGTCAGTCGATCGGTAATATACCGACAGATTGTTAGTCATAGAAATTTCTGTTGAAACCACATTTGAATGTAGCCACACAATTTGAATTGGTGCATTTTTGAGATAAAAATTCTTTTTGCGATTATTCTCATATATCGGGACTTTAAGTTTGCATATACTTATATATAAAATATAGACACGTTTGGCTATACCCCTTTTCATACTGATTACAAAAGCGTGTAATCCAAGATTATTTATGCAATCCTATTGCATATCAAGTTAATAAATGTGGTAAATAAAAAACAAGTTGAATATAATAAGCTTCCAAAGATTATTTATAACCTCATAACCTCGCTAGTTTTATCAATTTCCAGTGCAGAAATTTCTAGATTCACAATTCCCTCTAAAAGGCGGATCGGCACGTTCCGCCGTCAGTCGTAAATTGGCAATCAAAGAGTCCCTAGTTAACATCGTATGAAGTAAAGAGTGTTAATATCTGATACAGTGGTAAACTCAGTGTAGATATTGACATGGATACGTCTATGGTTTCAATATGGAGGGTCATTTTGAGAAACGATCTTTGTGTGTAGCGTCATCTATCGGAAGTCTAGAAAATTCTAGAACTTTCGAGGTAATTCGAGAAGTTTCTTGAAATTTTGAAAAAATTCAAGGTGTTTCCAGAAATTTCGAGGAAATTCAGGGAGTTTCCAGCAAATTCGAAGGGATGCAAAGAGCTTTTAGGAAATTCGAGAAAGAAAGAAAGACCGTGGATGTATCCACGCATAATTACAGCTGTATCGAAGATACAGCCGCCTGCCATTTATTGTTATCTTCAAAATGCTCCTTGCGCCGAAGTTTTCATACAATTTTAGCTTTTTTCAAATATTGCTTACACTCCAAACAATAAAGCTTTACGAATGATACTGATACTTAATCGTACCTTTAAAAATATACAGAGAAAACCAATACAAGAATTTTTCTGAAAGATTAGACAGAACAATTACCGTGCCTTCAGGCACGAAACAATTTGATAGAAAAACCTTCCGAATTCATTATAAAATTATATTGGATTTCTATTGAACTGCCTATTAGTATTTGGCCGATTCTGTCGAAATATTCAATAATAAATATTCAATACAAAAAATCAATAGAATTCGATTCTTCTATATATCTTATTCTCTTTAGATATTTTCTATAGAATTTCCTCGGCTCAAATTTTCCCATTTTTTTTCATCCTATTTTTCTTTCCTTCTCATCAAGAAAATCAAACAAAAAAACTTAGAAAATTTGAGCCGAGGAAATTGTGTAGAAAATATAGGAATAGAATTAGTTATAATAATAATATATATTTCTGCAATTAATACATGGTATTATTGGTGCAGGGGGAATCCTGTTACCAGAAGAGTACATAATAAAATAAAAAAATAAAAAATCCACTCTATGAACAAAGTTGATTAGCGCTAAGTAAAGTGGCGCAAGCTTCAGAACGTAATTCAAGAAATTCAATAGGAAAAGGAAATCCAAATCTTCCGAAATAAAGCTATGAAAATAATCGAGACAGTTTTGGCAGCGGTGAGACGAGTCCTCCTATGTTAGACAGCTAGACCCCTTAATCATTCAATTCTTGCGAACGAAGTTGCAAAAGTTTCTGCAAAAAACAATACAAAACTTTAATATCTCTAAAATTATTCGAGTTCAAAAAGGCTGAAATACTGGAGTCAGTTATAATATCTGGAGTTCGCAAGTAGTTAGGAAGGTAATGCTCCCTCAGCGGAGCATAGAATGGATAGATGAACAGTAAGTGCACCAGGTCTTTAGGGCAAAGCGAGTTACAAAGGGTGCAAATCTCATTAGCGTTGATTCTGTAGTCTATCTTATTGATGTATAGGCACCAGGTGTGGACTGTGGATAGTCTCAGCTGGATTTTAGCTCTCATGAACTCGAGAGGGCATCTTTCCGGATAGATGACTCCGAAATCATCCAAGGGATGTCTGAATGTCTTGAGCAGTATCGAAGGGGAGGAGAGGTAACGGAGGTAGTCCTCAAACCTCTCTTTCTCCGCGAGTTGACGAAGAATATCAGGAATCCTCGTTTCCCACCAATTTGGGTTCAGATTAGTCCAAAGATCAGAGCAATCAATACCGTTCAAGCTGTGTTTAAGCTGCATGACCCAGTTGTATCTGGCTTTGGTCGGGGAGTCTGCTTCCGGCTGTGCAGCCAAGTTGATTAGTCTCATAAGGCAAATTCTGGGGAGACGCTCGTCTGACATCTTCAGGATCTTAACAATCCAGTTGAGCGCCTGCTTTATAACCTCATAAGAGATTCTCAAGATGCCAGTCTCCAGGCGAATGGCATAACCCGGCGTATTTCTCTGCAGATTGAAGAGACGCTTGAGAAAGAAAAGGTGTCCTGATTCAAGAGTAGCCAAGTCTCTGAGGGTCCACAATGAAGATGTGTACAGCAAGGTTGAGACCACTATGCTGGAATTCAATTTCCTCATACCTTCCCATGAATCAGCACCAATATTAGCGAGAATCCTTAAAACTGAAGCTGCGGCAGCACGGGATCTCGATACTGCTGCATCGGTAGCAGCCCTACCCGTCGCTGAAGGAGTAAACTTGACCCCCAGATATGTGTACTCGGAGACGATTTTGACTGGTGCGCGGTTAAGAGTAAACTCGTAGTTTTTGGACGGTAACCGACCTCCTTTCCTGAAGATCATGACCTTGGTTTTGCTTATATTGACCGTTAGACCATTAATTTTACAGTAGTCCTCTAGAATCCTCAATTTACGTTTTAAGTCGATCGAGCTGAACGCCAGAATTATGAGGTCGTCAGCGTATAAAAGAAGGATCACGTCTCTCATACCGCCAATGTCGACTCCTCTAGCCCCATTACTTCGAAAAAAGGATTCTATGTCAGAGAGGTAGAGGTTGAACAGAAGAGGGCTCAACTTCTCCCCCTGTAGGACACATTCACTCACGTCAAAGCGGTCCGAAGAACCTTCGCTGGTTTTTATCTGTATGGAAGCGTGATCATACAAGTCCTTAATGACGGCCACCATGCGTGAGCTGACTCCAATCCTCTGTAACTTGGGCCACAACAAATGATGGGGAACAGAGTCGAAAGCTCTTTGAAAGTCCACGAAAAGCGAATAGACTCTGCCCCCCACTTGTCTCAGTCTGTTCTGCAGTATAGAAAGAAGAGTGAAGACGTTGTCCATGGTCCCTCTATTCCGACGAAACCCAGCCTGCTCTTCAGGGATAATCCTATTGTGCTCGGCCCAGACGGAGANTCGTGGTTTTTGGACGGTAACCGACCTCCTTTCCTGAAGATCATGACCTTAGTTTTGCTTATATTGACCGTTAGACCATTAATTTTACAGTAGTCCTCTAGAATCCTCAATTTACGTTTTAAGTCGATCGAGCTGAACGCCAGAATTATGAGGTCGTCAGCGTATAAAAGAAGGATCACGTCTCTCATACCGCCAATGTCGACTCCTCTAGCCCCATTACTTCGAAAAAAGGATTCTATGTCAGAGAGGTAGAGGTTGAACAGAAGAGGGCTCAACTTCTCCCCCTGTAGGACACCTTCACTCACGTCAAAGCGGTCCGAAGAACCTTCGCTGGTTTTTATCTGTATGGAAGCGTGATCATACAAGTCCTTAATGACGGCCACCATGCGTGAGCTGACTCCAATCCTCTGTAACTTGGGCCACAACAAATGATGGGGAACAGAGTCGAAAGCTCTTTGAAAGTCCACGAAAAGCGAATAGACTCTGCCCCCCACTTGTCTCAGTCTGTTCTGCAGTATAGAAAGAAGAGTGAAGACGTTGTCCATGGTCCCTCTATTCCGACGAAACCCAGCCTGCTCTTCAGGGATAATCCTATTGTGCTCGGCCCAGACGGAGATGCGGTCATTCAGAATCGATGTGAAGATCTTGGTGATGGTATTAATGAGAGCTATTCCTCTATAATTCAGGGGATCCGTGCGATCTCCGTTCTTGAATAGCATGCATAGGTTGATGGTTCCCCAGGACTCTGGAACACGCCCAGAAGAGAAGATGTCGTTGAAAAGGTTGAGCATCTGAGATCTCCAGTTGTCCGGAAGGGATTTGTAGAAACCGTTGGAAATGGAGTCATCACCTGGCGCCTTTCCCAACTTGATATTTTTTAAGCTCTTGTTCAACTCCACCCTGGAGATAACACCGTCCATAGCATCATTTATGACTGGGGCCATGACTAGGGGAGTGGAACTCCTAGGCAGGTATATCCGTGAAAGAAAGTTATTCCATCCAACAATTGATATGTGATCTATCCTAGGTGACCAACCTTTGGCATTCTTCACTGTAACCCAGAACCCTATGTTATTTTTAACATTAGTGAAGCCGTCAATAATTGTTTTCCTGGATGATTTCTTTTTTTTCCTGATCATTTTCTGGAAGAATTTATTCAGCTTCTTAAATTCCACAGCAATCCTCATATCAGGATGGGGAGAATATAGTTTTTTAAATTTTTTTGAGATCATTTTCTTAGTGGAGTGACAATCACTGTCGAACCACCTCGGACCCGGCTGTGCTGATCTGGACTTGAGTGATTTTTTTGGTGGTCTGACCATTGAAATCTCTAATGCGACCTCCTCGATACCTTCCAGGATGTTGTCATTTTTTTCAATCATCGTAAGGCCAAGTGGGTTCTTCAGGGCACTGGATGAGGAGCTCAGACGGGCTGAGTATTCAGCAGCTAGGGAGGGCTTCCATAGTAGGGTTGCACCGGACTCACCCTCACGACGATCCGAGGGATGGCTATCGGGTACAGATGGAATTGGAGCCAATACCTCCACGACATCCAGCAAGGCTAGGGAGACTGGAAGATGGTTGGAACCTAATAGGTCCGAGGAGACCTCCAGATCCAAGACGTGATCAATTTTGTCTACGCTTACCCATATGAGGTCAAACGTGTTGGAGCTCCTATTGCTGGTGAATTTAGCAGGGGTGTCAGATAGGGTTCTTCCATTGAGCAAAATAAAATCATTATCAATCATAAAAGACATCAGTTGCTCACCTCTAACATCAGTACGATCCACTGAGAAGGTCCTGATTTCGCTGACACTGGATCCGTAGGTGGCTTCCTAGGGTAAGTCGTCCTCGTAATGTGCAATCGAGGCATTGAAATCGCCGCCCAGAACGAAGATATCATTGGCAAATTCAGGATTCGACCTCAGGCTATTGAGGGTTAATTGGAGCAGAGGTAGGACTTGATCGAGTTGTAGAGATGGGCAGAAGTAGAATGAACCAATAATAGCATTCCAAGTATGGGACTGTATCCGGAAGAAAATCCACCAGGGGCAAGTTTCCAACAAGGTTGATTGAAGATCCTTGTTCACTAGGCAGACCAGCCCACCACTACCCCGACCCATGGCTCTATTACGTACAGCAGGCAACCAAAATCTGGCGTGATCCCTGAGACTCAATGGAATTAAATGAGGCGAAGGACTCAAAAGCATAGTTTCCGAGAGGCATAGGATTTGTAAATCAGGACTAAAACTATTGTGCATAACATTAACCATTCCTTGCATATTCCAAAATTGAAGCTTTATTACCTTAGATCTGCTTAATCTCGTTAGTTTTTTGGAGCCTTTCCATTTGAGAGGGAGCGAGTACGAGATTTATTGGAGGGTTCGGCAGGCAGTTGAGGTTTAGGAGTGAGTTTGTTTAATTCGTAATCCCAGGTCCACCAACAATCATCAATTAGAACCTTGTTATACCTGATCTTGACTCTTTTTTCCTGGTTCTTGGCAGACAGCAAGAAGTCTCACTTCGCGATAAATCTCTTGCTCTTTAGGAGTAAGATCAGGATCAATGAAGACTTGTTTGACTTGACTGTTACCCAGTTTGTATTTGTTTTTCATAACGCTGTTACGCACCTCTAGTGAGGTTAGAACCACAATAAGAAGTTTTTTGGCGTTACCCACCGCTCTGACATCCTGTACGACGTTGTGGAGCTCGAAATACGTGGACAAAAAGTTGTTGACAGCTTCCTTGGGAGTTGAAGAGCTCAGGTCGACACCTCTCAATGATATATTTTTAGCTCTGTTGGACTTTTCGTGGGCCTCCAATTGCTTCTTCAAAGCCTGAACCTCTTTTTGCAGGAAATAGGCGATTCCAGCCTCAGAGTTCGCTTCAAGTAAATTTACTCTCTCCTCCAAGGCTTTAGAGACCGGATTCTTTGCAAGATCAGTGAGTTTAGATTCCAGGGCCGATATTTTCTGGGTCAATGCCGAGATCTGCTCATTAGTACGTTTTTCCTTGGTATCAATGAAGTTCCTGAATCCATCCAGTTGCTCCTTCATATATTTATTGTTTTGTTCTAAGGATTTTTCGACAGCATCAGATTTAGCCTTACCAGCAGCACATAGATCATTCATCTTCAGTAGCAGCGATGTCAGCACCTCCCTTTCAGTTCCATTTTAAACTAGCTGATTGAATTTCTCTTATGAGAGTGGCTCAGGATGCACAACAGGGCATTGGAGGGTGGACAGGACTGAGTCCGACGACGACATATCTGGGAGGCACAGGGGGGAATCAGAGATGTTATCAGGGGCACTGAGAGACCTGTTCAGTTTCTTGGAGTCACGAAATGTTTTGCTGGGAAGATTATGGCCCTCAGAGTTTGAATCCCAGTCCAAACCCGCCGTATCTCTGCACCTCTTACTGTACAGAGCGGAAATAGACGGCAATGATTCGCAGCGGGCTTTACGGACGAGCTCGAGGACTTTTTTAGGACGGCCTCTTCTGGGGACAGTACCAGTGCTATTTTGAATCGGAGTAGAGTAGTTGGATTGTGATACTAGGAGACTGGACCACGCTGAGATGCTAGATGGAGAATTGACACTTTTTACCGTGGAGGCGGATGAGTTTGCAGCGAAAGGAAGTTCCTCGTCAGAAACTGGAGAACTGGGTGTAACAATTATATCAAGTTGCTGGTCTTTCACTTCATCAACCACGTTGTCATTCATGCCCTTGCCTGGGCTACCTAACCTCAGAAATAGCACGTGCCGAAATTCACTAATAATAGCCTATCACAGAAAACAGTGGCCGGTTTTATCGATTAATAATGTTTTAGCCAGTGGTAAACACAGTTTGTGAGTGGCGGCATAATTTTTTGAGCTATGAAAATTGTCAAAAATGAAAATTTTGAACACAGAGTTTCAAAGCACGTCCAGTGCGGTCTCTATCCGCACAGGACCCCCAATAGAATTAGTTATATAGAAAAGTTTTTCCACATCGGAAAAATTACACTTCACAATTAAATTAGACTATTCTGTACACAGCTCAACCTGAAAATGCAAGGGAAAGTAACGCAGTATCGTTTTAGAGACGATACTAGCGACCGAAAGGGGCGTGTTGATGCCCCTTTCATTATGCCCTTTTTCCTGTCAGATTCAATATTCCTTTTTTCAATTCATTGTTCATAATCATTTTAATTGCAAAAAGCAACGCAACTGATGGAAATGATATATCCCAATTTATTAGCTTTAAATTTTGTTAATTTTTCATATTGCAATAAATGACTTGCTCATGTGCTAATTGTTATGCTCACTGAATAAAGATTCGATCATAATTATAATCCATTTTCTTCTCGAACGTAAGCCAGAGAGTAGATTTCTGGTGAACACTCTTATAAATTTTTATAATTAGTTCACTCGTTATTTCAATTAATCCGTTGTTCATATTATCAATATAAGTCCACGCTTAGAATATGTCATCACCTAATGTTTTCAGCACCAAATTAAAAAGTAAAATTTTAAATGATTGTTTGACTTTTGCTCTACCCTTTTTTGGGAGTCTGGAATTCACATTAATGATTCAGATAATATTACATAATTATCATCATTGTTATTATTTGAAGTTATGGAATATTGAGTCAAAGCTTTTTTTGTTTAATCATATCAGACATTTTTGATTTAAATATTGTTACCATTTCTTCAAAGTGAAACAATCGATTATCATTTTCACTACGTTGCATTCAGATTCTTCTGTACTTAAGGTAAAAAATGTCAGAATATCTCATAATTCTAACTATTGATTCTAATTAACTTTAAAGGAAATCCCAGCAAACCCACCATTGAGGAAGTTGAAACATTATATTTTCCTGTGGCCGAAATGATTTGGGCAATTATAATTTGTTTATCAATCAAAAGTACAGAGTGATTTGGTACAGAATATTCAACGTTTAAATGAGAATTCAAGTAACTTGAAAAGTTCTCCACTTCACATGCTGGTTAAAAGTGTTGAATTTCATTAAATTTACAGTGAAATTTGAAATTTCACGACTTTTTCCTCTCAAACTGAAGCAAATGTTTCTCGCCTGAAAAGTACTACTGAACTTTCCATGGCATTCAACATTTTTTTCCAACACTATAATTACTACTTACTCATAATTATTAGGGAACATTTTTAAAATCTTCTAAAAAAATAGAAAGTCGACTGTTCTGAATATGGTCGAAAAATTGTGATTTTCGAAGACCACGACTTTTTATGCCTCCGAATGGAAGCTTTGTAATCATGATTTTTTTCGATTTCTGAATTTTGGGTAGAAATGCCTAGAGATGTCATGAAACGTGAAGAAATTATGTTTTTAAAAAATGTCTATGAATACGTATGTGCGCGCACGTGTGTGTTCGTATGTCCAGAACAGTCCCCATAACTCGAAAATTATTCAGGCAAACATGCTGAAATTCTGACTGCTAATTGGTTCTACTGACTCTCAAATTTGTGCTAAATTTCAGCTCGATCGGTTGAGCGGTTTGTGAGATATAGAGATTCTTCGAAAATAGTTTTTTGCCGATATCATCTGGACCGATTGGATTCTTTTTTTCAAAATATTCGTCACGATGATACCTATTTAATTCGATTGAAAAAAGACCATTACACCCTGAGCAATGTAGTTTTATTCTCGTTTTGTCATTAAAATTGCTTGCTTGCACGAAAACTTGAAAAATAATCGAGATAGAAACTTGAAACTTAGTACGGTTTTAGGTTTCATGGTAAAAAAATTTGGTATGCTGAATGAACGCAATCTTGTGGTTAATATCTCAAATCTATTTGTCCGATTCCATTTTTTCTTCTTTCAAAATGTGCGTTTCCATACCATTTATCTAGATGCAACAAAATATGGGTATCATCCCATTGAAATTTTTCGAGATATCGTCGTTTTTGTATTTTTTGCTCGGAGTTCACTGTTGCGCTCTATGACATGGGTAAAAGTCAGGGAAACATTTTGAAACTTTGATTTCTAGTTAGCATTGTCAAGGAACATTCCTATATCAAATTTTAGGTCTATGTATTTGTATTTGTAATAGTTCTTGAGATGAAATAATTCACCCAAAATTTTTGAGAAAAAAAAAGAACGCATCTATATTTCAACGTCCATTTTCACAGCAGGATTATTGAGGACGACATATAACATGAGTATTGTTGCATGAAATTGCAAATTTCTTTTATAGAAATAGGGGAAAATGAGTGCGATTGGCTTTAATATTTTCAAAAAATGAGAATCCGTATGCCTTCAGTTTTTGAAAACATACATTGGGATCCATTCGCGAAGCCTACTACTACTGAAATTTTGTAGAAATGAAAATAGGGGAAATATACGTGGAGAGTAGCAGTCATATGTAATCTGTCAAATGGCTCCTGTCACACTGCCTGTTTATTTAACTAATTCAATAATAATATATTTTTCACTCTAAAAATAATCATTTCTGAATTATAACGAATTTGTCACCTTTCAGAATTTCACCAAAATTTAATTGGATGCCTAAAAATATTCTTATGAAAGTTTGAGCTGTTTCCATTATTCATTTCTAAGAATGTCGAAAAAAGCAATTATTTGCAGAATCTCTTTCGAAAGCCGCTGATTATCCATATATATATATGTATTAGTGTGCCCCATTTTAGGGTATTCCTGAATATTTCCGATTTCGCCTCAAAAAATGATTCTTCAGTTGATAACATACCCCTGTGAATTTTGTCATATTTTTAAACTGCATTTTGATGGTTGCGCCGTGTGTTTAAACTTTGACTGACATTTTTGACCTACTCGTAGTAGAGGTCATAAAACTTGGGTAGAAGTTAAATATCCTCAATGATACGTCCGTGTCAGGTAGTAAGTATGCCTCCGAGTGAGGGTTCGGGTGTGTCACCCAGGTAATATGTCTCTTACAGTTGCAAACTACCCGGAAAAGGCTTTAGAAAAGGGGAAACCTATTGTTAAGGTACTAGTAACTAATGTTTTTTTAATGAATAGATATTGCCAAGTAGATCCAATTTTTTCAATGGTTTTTTCCATTTCGAGTGGGGCGTATATAAGAAAAACACTTAAAAAACCTTTCAAAGGCCTTTTCACTGATTTGTGAGAAAATGGTTAACTTTGTTTCAATTTTTTATAAAATTTATTTTCAGAGTTCTCAAAAAGTTCTATATTTTTTGTCTTCGGTGTTTTCTTATTTAATCACGTCCTGAGCTAGTAATTTCAATTAGTTTACAAATATTATTAAAAAATGGAAGTACTAGTCGCTTTTTTTCTTATATACCGACAGATATTTTGTAACATTTAGATANTCGATCTCTACGATGCGTGTAAAAGTCCATAAGAAATAAAACTACAGGGCGCAACCTTGAAAAATGATTCAAAAATTTTGAAAAAATTCACATGTACTTTCCATGTCATTGGTTATCCATATCAAACACGAAAATTATGAAATTAAATTTTTTTACATATGAGCCATCNCTAATGTCAAGGCGTGGTGGAAGAGAAGATTTCATTCATTAGATCAGCGAAATAATCCTTCAACATTTCATGTAACAATTTTTTAAAAATTTCGCCTTCTTTGTTTTTTTTTTGTATTCTTTAATCTTTGATTATTCTGGATATATTGAGAATTGGATAGTCCTCATGGGAAAATATTTTTTTTCAATCTGAAGGAAAACGTATGAAATTAATTAAAATGGTTCGAAAAATCATTATATAAAATAGATTTGAAGGAAATAAGTATAATTGACCTTCNATATATATATTTTTTTTTTTTTCTCATTTCAAATGAAAAGAAGGTGTTGGCCTGTGTGATCGTTAATTTTAAATTAACGTTGCTTTTGCAGAGTCTCACGAAGATATATCGGCAATAGATCACGTCTTTCCTGAACACTGGATGAGTCATAATTAAATTAATGAGAATTTTTTTCCATATAAAAAATACGCACAGTGATATCTCTCCTGTCTAAAGGAATTTGATCTTCTTGATATGCTTTCTTTGATTGTATCATCATTCCTAGCGCGCAATTGCTGCTCTAACTTGGTTTTGCTTTACACTGAAATTGTTNAAACGCTCCCAGGATTCCTTCGGATTAAGTTAGATTTGTCTAATGC